ATTTTAAATTTTTTAAATGGGCTGGGAAGGCGATTCAGGGGTAGAGCATTCACCTAGCACGTTGGAGATGTTGGCTGGGCTGGATCCTCAGCACTGCAAGATGTTGAATAAATTTAAAAAATTAAAGCTCATGGCTAAGACAATCATCTTAAAAGCCAAGGCTTTTGATTTGAAGAGAAGAAGGGCTCAACGCCAGAGAAAGTAGGTCATAAGGTTTATGTCACAAGCAGCAGTTTGAGAAGTAGGTGAAAGCCAGTGTACTCCCCCACACACACACACACACAGCCGAAAGCCGAGTGAGGGACGGGCCCACCTGTGGCCTTAGAGGGGGAGGAGTCAGTTGGCAGGAGCAGACCTGGAAGGGTCGGATTAGGAGTTCAGCACTTAGAAGCTGAAGGGGCTGAGCATGCATGTAATCCCATCATTCTGGGAGGCTGAGACAGGACGATGGAAAGTACAAGCCCAGTCTGGGCAACTTAGCAGACCTTGCGCTCAAAATAAAAAATAGGGGAAAAAAATTAAAGCACTAAGAATGTAGCTCAATATAAAGACCCTGGGTTCAATCCTCAGCACCACAGAAGGAGGAAGAGGAGGAAAGAAGGAGGGGGAGGAGCAGGCAATGCCCACTGGGCATCTGTTGCCACCCTGGTCTGTGTCAGGATCCACAGGAACTATACATCTGGCAGGGGAGGGGACCTGGGAAGCCCTGAGACTGCTCACTCATCCTACCATCCGAATTGGCACCCCTTCTTCTGGTCTGGGGTGCTGTGAAGAGGGGAAGCCCAACACCCAGGACTGGTGAACTGAACTAAAGCCCAAGATTGTGTCCCAGGATAAGCAGTTGTGGCCATCCCAAGCCTTTACAGTTACAGAATACCTTCTTCATGTATTGCCAAAAATTGTCTGTTGTAAAAAATTGTAGATATTTGAAAAGAATACTGCCAGTGTGGTGGAACACACATCTGTAATCCCAGCAGACAGGAGGCAGAGGAAGGAAAATTACCACTAGTTCAAGGGCAGCCTAGTGAGACCCTGTTTCAGAATAGAATAGAATAGAATAGAAAGAATAGAATAGAATTTATTCCATCATCTGCTTACCCAGAGATAATCACTACTGGTCATCTCAGTTCTTCTAGACATTTCTGTCTGCTCTGCATATAAATTTTAATTATAATCTAGATTGTAACCTCTCTAAGATCAAGAACTGCATCTCTTTTTTTGTTGTTTTTTGTTTTTTGCTTTTTTTTGGTAGCAGGGATCAAACTTGGGACCTTGCACTTTCAAGGCAAGCATCTGAACCACTGAGCTAAATCCCTGGCCCGAGAACTGTATCTTATTTATTTCTTTAACTCCAGTATGGAGGATAACAATGGATGCATGAAGGATGTTTAATCAGTATTTAGTTAATTAGTTAATTTTGTTGTTGTTTGAGACAGGGTCTTGATAGGCTGACTTTGAACTCACTATGTGGCTCAGGAGGAGGAACTCCTCCTGCCTCAGCCTCCTGAGTGCTGGGATCACCAGCATACACCAGCACACCCAGCTTAATTAGTTAAAATTTTTATGCAGTGTTTGGGATTGAACTCGGGGGCTCTCTACCTCCAAGTTACACTCTCAGCCCTTTTTATTTTTTATTTTGAGACAGGGTCTTGCTAAGCTATCAGGCTGGCCTGGAATTCACCATCCTCTTGCTTCAGCCTCTGAAGTAGCTGAGATTATAGGCATGTACCATCACGCCCGGCTTGATTAATTAATTTTTGAATAAAAACTGTCTGAAAATCCCAATGGGCCAAGAAAAAGAATCTATTTTCAATTATTATTGCAGATGACTTTTGGACACTGTGAATCTGAGGCACTCTAAGGAGTTGGTTGGGGGAGAAAGTCCCTGGGGGTTGAGGGGGGGATTTTTGAATCCTACTGTTAAGAAGCCCCAGCCAGAGCTGGGCGTGGGTGGCGCACGCCTGTAATGCCAGCACTTAGGAGGCTGAGGCAGGAGAATCGCCATGAGTTTGAGGTCAGCTGGGGCTACAGAGTGAACTTAAAGGTCAGCCAAGCCCCAGTCAGGTCTTTAGGTGATAAATGACCCAACACATTTTCTAAGACTTTGTCCCGTTCTCCTTCAGGTAGCCCAAAGTACCTTTGCTAGGCAAGGGGAAGCCAGCATGGTTCTAGGTCCCAGCTGGTGGTGGGAGTGGTTTACAAGAGTAGTATGAACCCTCTTCCTCCCTCTGCCCATCATAGCCCTTCCTTGTCTCTGTGAGCTCCCTTCAGTCTCCCTGACCACCATTGCAGCTCCCACCTGGGGAGCAGAGAGCTCCAGGGATGCTCCTGTTTCCCTTGTCAGCTGCTTCCTGGAGCCAGGGAGCCAGGGCTGGGCAGCGGTCTCACCTGCATCCCTGCCCCTGCCTGTCCTTTTCTGCCTTCTCTTTCACTTTCTGGTTCCTCCTTCTGCCACTTCCTCAGCCCCAAACCTCATGGGACTGCAGACTCTCCAGGCAAAAAGGGCCCCTCCCTGTCATGGCCCATGTGGGAAACTGCTCAAGGTCATAGAGCAGGTCTGGGCCAGGCTGGGAAGCCAGCCCAAGCCTCCTTCCAGTTCTTTGGGCACAGAGCCGGAGCTCTGCAGCCTCCGGGGAAGGAGAGAGGAGCCCCTACTGCTGATCTTGGGGACAGCTGACCCCAGGGCGGCCTCCTCCTCCTGCTTCTCCTTTGGGGTCTCAATCCTAGCTCTCTCCTGTTCCTGCTTTGCCATGAGGCCCTGGTGCCCCTGGCTGGGTCATGAATTCTGGGGTGGGGTTGGAAGCGGTGGAAGGGCTCCAGCTCAGAACAAGTAGGCTTGATAGGAAGGCCAGAATCTGCCACCTGCTGGCTAGATTCAAGTTTCTAGCAAATTCTTCCTGGTCTTTCCATGTTGCTGTGATCACTGTGACCTTGAAATCCAAGCTCTCTGTCCTCAGGGACCCCATCTCCCTCCTCCCACTCAAGTCCCAGCTGTTAACCCCATGTGCATCAGCAGCCCACCCCCAGGGGTTTGTGTATGAAGCTGGCTCTGGCAGCACTGAGGAGACATTTCAGGCAGTGTGGCAGGCAAGTGTCAGGGAGGGGCTGGGGACACAGGATAGAGCTTCCTAGAATCTGCAGATGCAACCTTGAAGCTGCTCATCTCTCTCTGAGTACGGCTGACGCTTTTGTTCTTGTTACTGAATTCAAATTCCAAGGGAAGACAGGCTGCAGGTTGTTCCCAAATAGGAAACACACGGAGGGCCAGGAGTTTCTGCCAACCTCCCTTGGGGACTGTTTCCTCCCTGCACTGCAGGCCTGCAGGCCCCAGAGGGATCTGGTAATGCTTCCCCTGGCCAAGGTTAGTGTCTGCCTCTACACCATCACTGCAGCCATTCCAAGCAGGAACAGGGGCAGGGTGTGGAGCAGTTTTCAGCATGAAGTCATTTCCCACAGCAAAGGAGCAGTCACATCCTGCACAGCCCATGGGCACCCAGAGCCAGGAGAATCTAAAGCACCTGAGCTACACTGAATGTGACGATCCTCCTGCCTCAGCCTCCTGAGTGCTGGGGTTACAGGCGTGCACCACCAGGCTGGCCTCTCCTACATCTTTAGAGACTTAAAACTGTGTGCAGGCCATACCCTAACTAGCAGAGGATCAGCATAACAGACCAGGCACAGAATCCACCCTGGCACATGAAGAATTGTAAGGCCATAGACTGGAACAGGGAACTAGTGGGTCACTTACTGAGCACAATGGGGGAAAGTGGGCCCCTGGGGTTGGAGGGGGAGCAAAGTAGACCCTGACCTGAGATAATTTACTGTAATAAACAATGATTGGCAAGCTGCTCAGCAGGCCCGGAATCGAGGACCAGTAGGACAGAAGTACTGATGTCAGGGACCCCACTCTGAGAAGGAGCTTGTGGGCACCAGGCTTCCAATGAGCTCAGTTTCCTTCAAGCCCAGGCTTTGTGAACTGACCTGGAGCAGAACCCCCCCCCCCCGGGGCTGTCAGGTCCTGTCGGAAGCTGCCCTCTGTTTCCCTCTTCCTGGTAGACTTGTTTGACCACTAGCGCTACACAATGGCTTGGCCTCAGGGACCTCCCAGCTGCTGCCATAATGGAAACCTCAGCTGCAGGACCAGGAAGGGACCTATGAATTGTCCCCACTCCTCATTGTATAGATGGAGAAAATGTGTGCAGAGAGGAAAAGCGGCTTACTCCATGTCACACAGGCCACCCCTGCAGCCCCGCTGCCTGTCTTGGGCCCTCCCAAGTGGCCTGCAGCGCCCAGCTTGCAGCCTGCCCGCTCTTCACCTGGACAGCCCCGGCTTGGTGTGGCGGCTTAGGTGTGCGCCATCCTTGAAACAAGATGGGCCCTGCTGTCCTCTTGGGACAGGCTCCCCCCATATCTGGGTCTCCTGTGACCCTGGACCCAGAAGACCCACATCCCCAGGACTGAGTGACCTTCCTGAAAACTGGAAGAGCAGAATCATTTAGAGCACCCCTGCAGACCCACCGAGCCAGGGGTGTGGAGTCATGCTTTGTCACCCTTGAATTGCCATTCGCATGTAGGACACTGGTTTCCCCAGACCCCAGACAGCTGCTGAATAACAGAGCAGTAGATCTCAACGGGGGTGATTTTGATACCCCGAGGGACCCTGGGTAATATCTGGGATGTTTCTGGTGGTCATAAGTGAGTAGGGTTGGTGTGGCATCTGATTGGCCAAGGCCAGGGATTCTGTAAACATCTCACAGTGCATGGGATGCCCCCTGCCCCCAGCCAAGAATCATCTGGCCTGGAAACACCAATGGTGGCAAGATGAATGGAGGAGACACCATGTCTCCGTAGCTACAGAGCCCGGCTGTCACTCCAGAGAGGAGAAGGGGCTGTGTGTGTGTGTGTGTCTGTGTGTGTGTGTGGTGATGGGGTGTTGACCATCAAGGCATCAAGAGCAGGAACCACCCAAGGGCCAAATGAGATGGCCACGCCCAGCCCAGCCGTGATAACTTGAAAACATTTTATTTCAATTCTATCCTTGGGAGGCAGCATAAATAATCACAGAAGACCGCAAAGGTCAATGGGGAAGAAGAAAAGAAAGTTGAAAGTGAGGAGGGGGTGAGGAGAGCTGGCACTGTCTACTGCAGGGAGGGCAGGGAGACCCTGTCCCCTGGGGGGAGTGTGGGGGCTCCCTGCCCGCTCCCCAGGGTCTCCGTGGACAAGACTCCTGCAGGTGCCCTGGGAAGGGCAGGTGGAGAGCGTCCCTGTCCAGCAGTTTCCAGCCAATGAGAGACAGAGACACTCACTTCTGGAGTCCCAGGTCCTCCCAAACTGCGACTTTTCTGAAAACAGTGCTTTTGGATTTAGCATGGATGGTGAGAAATGCAAGGAGAAAAAGAGGAGGAGAGAAATGAAATTGTGCAGATGACCGAATGGAACATGGCATCTTACAGTGCTGTGCACCCTGGGGCCGCTTTCTCTGTCCTTGGCCACACAGTGGGGCAGAGGTGAGGCTCGGCGACATCCCAGGGGTCAAAGAACTGAGTAAACGTTAAAGTGCTGTCCTATGGGGTGGCTGTGGCCATTCTACGTGCATAAGGCTGCAAGTGGCTGAGAGACACACGGGGTCCCCAGAAGCCATCAAACCCTGCTCTGCATGCCCGGGACCAAGCTCCACTCTTCTCAGCCTTGGCTTCCGGAGGAAGAGGCCTCGTCTCAGATGGAGTCTCCTGGGGCGGAGCCAAGGGTGCAGGCCAGGAGGGTCCGGGGGCACCAAGCGTCCTCAACCGGGCAGTGTGGCACACTGGCACTACTGGTATCGGCTGATGGTGGAAGTGGGGAAACCCATGGGGGAGCGGCATCTGGATGCAGGGCAGGGGGCCTGGCCTTGGGGTCTGGACACCCAGGGTCCACTATTGACCTGCCGGGTGACTCAGTACATTGCTCCGCATTGCAACCCTCAGTCGAGTCATTTGACAAATGGGGACGAGAGTCCCTACCCTGCCTAGCTCACGAATTCAATGCGAAAAGGGTGTGCAAGAGCTCAGAAGAGAATCACGGGAAGGCGAGGGTCACATGGCCTTTGAAAGCGTCCTCTTCATTCCCTGAAGACAAGGGGCGGGAGGGGAAGAGCCAGAAAGGTGAGTCAGGTTCCAGGGCTGCTGGGACACAGGGGACCCTGGCCTGAGGTCCAGCCCCACTGTGGGCCCAGCAGGGACCCAGAACCGGGAGTCCCCACAAGTCCTGGCAGCCCCTTGGCAGGGAAAAGTTCAAGTTCTAAGTCGAGCTGGGATCTGCGTCCCTCTCTGTCCCTGTCCATGGAGGGTACCCCTTGGGGAGTCCGTGGTCCTGGCCCAGCCAAGGGAAAGCCTGGCTCCTGGGGAACAAAAGGGGTGTGGGTGGGATTCTCCAGGAGAGGCTGGGGACTAAGATTAGCATGAGGTCAGGAGGTCAAGGGTCGGCTTCCAGTTGTTGAGGTTAAAGGTGGGGTCCCCAGGTTGGCCCCCAGCTCCAGTCCTGGCTCTGTCTCTGGGGCCACTGCATAAGGGAAGTGAAGAGACGAGTGGAAACCACGGAGAGATCAGCTTGGAGGGCAGCCCAGAGCTAGCAGTTCTTGGGGCTGTTGCGCAAGTTTTTCAGTTCCAGCTGGAGCTGCCGAATTCGGACGTCCTTCTGAGCCAGTTCCTCCTTCAACCGCCTGATCTCGTCCTGCTGCCGGAAGAACATCCGGAGGAGCTGGGGTGGGAGAGACGGCCAGCCGAGGAGGCCAGGAGAGACGTGAGGAGGGGTTCGGGAAGGGTCTCAGGCACCCCGCCATGCCTCTCTCCCAGCCTCTCATGGTCCTCACCCGGCTCGGTCTGGGTCCTGCTCCTCTCCAAGGAAGGAGGAAAGAAAATCCAGCCTTCCTAGCTCACTGATCCATCGCTCAAAAGGGGTCCAAACCTGAAGATCTCTTTACCATCCTGGATGAAAACTTTTCTAGTGTTTTGCTCTCTCTCTCTCTCTCTCTCTCTCTCTCTCTCTCTCTCTCAATTGAATCCATTTCCTTTGCACTGAGGTGCATCCCCAGGCCATTTGAGACAGCCCATTGACAGGGAAAAGTTCAAGTTCTAAGTCAAGTTGTTCTCGCCTAAGTACTTAGTTCTTAGTCTAAGTCTAAATTGTTACATTCCCCAGACTGAGCTCAAAATTGGCATCTTCCTGCCTCAGCCTCCCAGCATGCAAGGATTATATACATGCACCCAACCTGGCTTGCATCCTTCTCTTATTATGAAGATTTATTATCTTATTATCTTATTAAGAAGATTGTAATGCTGGGGTCCAACACAGACCCTTACGTAAGCTAGGCATACGCTGTACCACATACCTAGCCCTAGAACTTAGCTTTTGAAACACAAGGCTATGACAGAAACACTAGAGTTTTCACTGGGCAAAGCACAGTGTCTTGGCAGATCCTCACTCAATCATTCCTTGGATGGACCAGTTTCTCCATTTCTTCTGTAAGACACATCAATAGGTGGCTACAAGCACTCTGGAAGGCTGCAGGCTACCCATGGACCCCCTAACAAAGAGTCAAGTGTCATCCACGGTCACTTGTATTTGTGTGACTCTGATCTGAATTGCATTTGCTATTGTATGTTTTTTTTTTTTTGGTACCAAGGATTGAACTCGGGTCCTTGTGCTTGCAAGGCAAACAACGGAACCATTGAGCTAAATCCCTGGCCCTGCATTTGCTATTGTAATTGCACAATTTTTTTTGAGACGGTCTCACCATGTAGTCCAGGCTGGCCTCAAATTCAAGGCAATCCTCCTGCCTCAGCTTCCTGAGTGTTGGAATTACAGGTGTGCACCACCATGCCCAGCATTTTTGTCCTTATAGTAAATAATTATCTGCACAGTTGTGCCTGCCACATTCTCAAAACTTCTTTGCATAGATTTTTAGATCCATTTTTGTCACCAAAAAAAGCTTCATTAAGGTATAGTTTGGATTCCATAAAACTCACCATTTTTACTGCAAATATGTGTTAATAAAAACAAAAATTTTAAAAATTCAGCATCTACACCTATAATTCAATGATTTTTAGTAAGTTACCGAGCTACACAACTGTAAATCACACTCTCAGCCCCAAGTTCTCATCGGCTGGTCCCAGTCAGCTGTGGTGCTTAAAACTACAGATAGCGCCAGGGGCCACAGGCTTGAGCAAGCTCTTCCCAAGGAGGAAGATGCCCGGCTTTGGTGCAGAGGGACCATGGTGTCTGCCTGGTCTGTACAGAGACCCTTGGAAGTCTGCCCCCAGGTTCTCAGTTCTGATGACTCAGTGTTCCTTGACTTAGTGCTCCCCAGCCTGCCTCCTCCATACCTGGTGCCACAACTGAGTTCAGGCTTCACTGCTGCCCAGCTGCGCTGGTGCAGCAACTCATCTACAGCAACTCAATCCACAGAAACTGGGGGATAATAAACATCTGTGGGTTTAAGTCATTAAGTTCTGGGGTAATTTGTTACGCAGCAGTGGATAGGTGATAAAGCTGGCCTCTTTTCTGGAGCACTTTATATGGATTATCTTTTTAATGTCCACCGAATTTTCTATCCCCATTTTACCACAAGGAAATGGACGTAGAAAGGTCAGGAAACTTGCTCAGTCACAGGGAGGAAGAGGAGGGGCCAGCAGCCACTTCTGGTCTAGCATGTGGCACATGGCTAAGCTGAGCAGCCCTGGCGCCTGGGCCTGGGGGAGACGCATTGGAAGGAGATCAGACAAGGCCCAGCTCTAGGTGCCCCTGAATGAGCTTCGTTGCACCCCACGTGGTCCCCGGAGCCTTTCCTAAAGAGCCAGCCTCTTCCACAAGACCAGGAAGTGTCACAGCTCATCACTGCCACACCCTGGGGAGGAAGGCACAGCCCCACCATGTACAACTCCTACGACAGTAACATCCTCAAATGGTTTCAGAGGAGATGCCAGCTCCTCGTTCCTGCATTTGAGGGCGGGATGTGTGTGGCCGCACCTGTGACACCCCAGCCTCTATTTATTGGGGTCAGAGGCAGTGCAAGTCGGCGGTAGGCTACTTACGGTATTTGTCCCTGAAAGACAAATGCCTCAGAGTGCACTGGCTTCTGGGCCTGAAGCCTGTAATTGAAACGTAAAGGTCTCACTCCTCCAGGGCCCATGGAGGCAGTAATATCCTTTACCTCGTTCTCTGTCCTGGGTGGGACATTTTCTAATAAATCTATGCCGTTGACCACGACGCTCTTCTTCTCTCTGATGGGAGCTTTAAACACCACTTTGGAGGACCTCTTGTAGCCCTCCTTCAGGGACATCAGCACGGGGTCTAGGAAGCAGGAAGGGCATCACATTGACCACTGCTGGACAGCACTGGGTGTCAGGGGCTGTGGGCAGGGGATGGGAAGAGCGAGGCCGAAGGCAAGGGGCAGCCTCTGGCCTCCTCTGTGAGGTACCTCGGTTGATGCCGCCCAGCCACTCATCCGGGGTCAGAGCTGGCTCTGTGCCCGGCGTCATGGGGTAAATGTCTTCCTGGTAGGAATCCGACTGCAGGGGCAGCAGGAGGGAGTGAGACAGCCTTGCTCCCGGCCAGACCCCACCCATGCTACTCACTTTCCTGCTTCCAGCCTTGCTCTTGGGGTGCCTCCCGACTGGCCGCTTCCCCTCCCACCGACAGCAGCAACCCCACTGTCCCCTCAGGCAGTGCCTCCCTCCTTCCACCCCAAGTTGGGCCTGAAGACGCCGCCTGCATCTGGGCTTCTCCTATGGACAGTGGTGAGCAAGCTACGATTCCATACAGGGGACCCTGGAGCCGCACTCACCCTCCGGGGCACAATCATGGAGATGGGCTCGATCAGCCCCTTGAGAGTCACCAGCTTGTAGAAGCGGAACACCTCGCAGGCCGACACGTCCAGCCCATGCTTGGGCATGACCCCTGTGGGGAAACACACGGCTCCCTGGGTCCTGGCTAGCACCCCCTCGGTGCCCCTGCCTTGTGTCTTCTGCCAGGCACAGGCTGAGGTCTGCAGGTGACAACCCTCACAGAGGACGGCGAGGGCGGGGGGTGAGTAGGGTTTGAGCCAGACTCTGCCCTTTCCAGCTGGGAGACCTGGGCCACATCACTGACCCTCTGAGCCCCCCAGCCCCATGTGAGACATCAGGGACACTTGTTACCCGCCTGGTTTAGTCAAGCACACAGCCAGTGCTCGGACCTTTCTCTGAACTGTGAGCACTAGACAGGGCTCGAGGGCTCCCCAGGGATGGAAGCTGCTCCTCTAGACAGGGAATTCCTGGAGCTGGACCACGAGGTGCAGAGGTTGTCCCCGTGGTATGTGAAGCCAGAGGTCTGGGTTTGAACTCGCTTCTCCTTTTGCAGTGCTGGAGATGGAATCCAGGGCCTCGTGTACACTAGGTGAGTGCTCTGTTGTGGACCTCGGTCCCCAAACCCTTCCTGTGTGTTTCAGTTTGTTTGGTTTTTTTTTGAAACGAAGTCTTTCTAAGTTGCTCAGGCTGGCTTTGAGCTTGTGATCCTCCTGCTTCAGCTTCCCAAGTAGCTGGGCTACACATGTCCTCCACCCAGCCCGACTTGGGTTTGAATTCTGTTTCTGCCACTTGGCAGCTCCACAGGGCTGAGTTACTTTATTTCTTTGAACCTTTGAACAGTGCCTGGCTCTTGGTCAATGCTCGGTACGACCCAGCTTTCCCCTCTGCTCCTGGATCCAGCCCTCCTCCCATTTGTACCTCGTTACCAGCCTTTTTCCTAAAAGGAAGTGGGGGTGACAGAGTTGGGGATGTGGAATGGTCATTAGGACCTCAGATGGCTCTGGGCCTCCTTTTCGCTGTTGGGCACCAAAGGGGCCTCTCCATGTCCCTGACGCTGGCCCTCAGGCCTGCTGGTGACACCAGACACAGAGGGCACAAGCCTATTCCACTCTAAGGAGGAGGGGTCATGTGCACAGGCAGGAATAGGCTCCCGAAAGATTTGTCCCACAGGGTGACTGGGACCCCAGAGTGCTCCTGCTGGATCACAGGCACTGTCAGGCTTAGTGGACAGCAATGAGACTGAAGAACATCTGCCTGATTCCCCAGCCCCTGGCCCCAGGCTGAAAACCAGGCAGCTCGGGGCTGCAGGGATGGTGACTGGAATCTTCTGCCTCGTCGGTGAGGAGAGAGCAGCTGCTGAGGACACTGGGGTCAGCCCCAATCTGGGCTCAGTCTCCCTTCCATCTCCCCCCTTAGGCCACTGCTGAGCAGGAGTGACAGTGGACATAAAGGCCATGGAAGGACAGCGCCAGCTGCAGGGCAGGGACAGGCAGGCTGCAGCAGGGCTGGTAGACCTCCCCAGGGGGCAGTGCTGTAGGCCAGAGCCCCAAGCCCTTACCGAGGCCTTTCTGTGGGGCTGGGGAGCGGAACTCCATGAGGTAACTCAGGTAGGGCTTCTCCGTGCTGATCTCGTAGTACCGGATGTTCCCGTCGCCCTAGGGTGAGGGAGAGGGGGTGAGGGCCTGGTAGCTGGGGAGGGCTGAGCCCACCCTGGCCCCAGGATCTGCAGGAGAGAGCTGCCCTTGAGCCAGCCTGGGCCTCTACACCTTTAACAGCAGAATAATGGGGAATTATAGGATGGATGTGCTACTTGCCCATAATAATAAAATGGAGTTCTTCTGGGGCTTCCTGGGGGTGGAGGGGTGGAGGTGGGGTAGGCCACGCATGTGTGCACAGCCTATTTTGTTGTTGTTGTTGTTATATTGGGATTGAACCAATGGTACCTTACCACTGGGCTATGTCCCTAGTCCTTTGTTTGTTTTGACATAATGTCTCACTATGTAGTTCAGGCTGGCCTTGAACTCACTATGTAGCCCAGGCTGGCCTTGAACTCATGGCAATCCTCCTGCATCAGCCTCTCAGGTGCTGGGATTATAGGCCTGCACCACCATGTCCAGCTCTTATTTTTTATTTTGAAATAGTCTTGTGTGAGTTTCCCAGGCTGGGCTCAAACTTGCAGTCCTCCCAAGGAGCTGGGATTGCAGGCGTGTGCCACTGTGCAGGCAGCTTTTCTGGACAAACAAGGCTGAATTTTTCAAGATCTCTGGGTAAGTGTTTCCAGGTCCATCCCTGACACTGTCGCTGTGCTTTTTGGGCTCTGATCTTTATACTAACATCAAAGACCAGTCCAACTCACCTCGGAGGAACTGTCGGTCACTGACACTTCACTCAGTGTGTCAGACTTGATGGGAAGGAGAGACCCGGGGACCCAGAGAAGTTATCCCCCCACATCGGGGACTTGGGGTCTCCCAGGAGCCCCCGCCCTCCCCTGCCCTCCACAACCTTTCCAGCCAGGTAGAGCATGTGGGTGTCAGCATCGTAAAAAGGGAACAGGAGGCCGGAGAGCCCATCAATCTCCTCCTCAATCAGCGGCATGGACAGGTCCTCCTGCAGGAGGAGGTTGGGGGGAGGTCAGCCCATGTCCAGGCAGGAGGGCACAGCACTATCCCAGACCCCAGCCAATCCCCCAGAACTGCAGCCCCCTCATGTCAAGACCTTCTCTGGTTTTTGTTGTTGTTGTTGTTGTTGTTTTTCATTTTTTGAGACAGGGTCTCACTATATAGCCCAGGCTGGCCTCGAACTCACAGTGGTTCTCCTGTCTCAGCCTCCCAGGTGCTGGGATTACAAGTGTGCACCTCCACGCCCCGTCCCCTCCAGTGTTAAAAAGCCTGCCCCACAGTGGGTGATAGCTGCATTCTTCATCTCAGAGAGTGACTTAGAGGCTTGCCTCAGTGTCGCCTCCCCCTACCCACTACTTGCTACGTGTCCCCTGGTGAGCCTCAGATCTCTCTGGAGCTCAGCCCTGATTCTGGAAAAAATGCTATCAGCCTGTGGTGTGGCCTGGCGGGGTCCCAAAGCCCTCCTGGGCCCTCAATGCTCCTCCCACCTACCTGGCAAGGTGGTGGGTGGGTAGGAAAAGGTGTGAGGAGGAGGCTGGACCTGGGTCCCCACTGGGACCTGGAGCCCCAGCCTCACACTGCTCTCAAACCCCTGGGAAGTGGAGACCCTTCTGCTCCCCCACCTCCCCGCTGACCTGGTCCCAGAGTGCGATCTGTCTCGTGTTCCACCTGGAGACCCCGGTGGTGAGCAGCCGCTTCATGTTGCCCAGGAACACCACCCGGTTCACCCTGTGGTTTTTGCAGTTCGCCTCCTGGTGGGGACAGAGAGTGGGTGAGCAGGGACCCCCAGGACTTGGGTACTGTCGTGGCTGAACGGGGGTTTCCCCAAAAGACTCCCGTGTCCCGTGTCCAGGACAGAATGTTTTTTTATGTGGCAAAAAGGCCCTTGCAAATGTAATTAATGATGCTAGGATGAGATTATGGGGGCCTGGAATTATGGGAATTATGGGGGGCTTGAATGCTATCGTGAGTGTCTATCAAGAGGGAGGTGAGGGGCTGGGGATTTAGCTCAGTGGTTCCGCTGCCTGCCTCACAAGCACAAGGTCCTGAGTTTGATCCCCGGTACCAAAAAAAAAAGAGGGAGG